ACTTTTCCACGACATTCTAATTTATTGAGATGCACCTGTATATATATATATATATATATATATATATATAAAATTTCTGTTAATGTTTATTTTATTTCAAGAAAAAAAATGAAATCTAATTTTAGTTAATGATAATGACCAGTAGTTGACAGGACTTGAATTGTATGTAAAAACAGATTCTGTAATGGCACTCTGAATGAATGCTGTTTTCATTTATGTCGCGTTTGCAGAAGAATTTGAGAGGTAAAAATCCACTGAAGAGTTTTCGCTACACGAGGAAGAAGCGTGAAAAGAAGGCTGGGAAATCCTAACGGCAAAAGAGCCTGAGAGACACTGGGTTTGGATTGGGATGTTGAGGAAATCTTGACATAACTAGTCTTCTGGACACTTTGAACTGTGACTGTCATCCTGAACGACACGCTCCAGAGTCCAGATCATCAGAATCAGACGTGCATGAGGATTCCTGTCTCACTGCGTGTGCAAAATGATTTTGATGAATATTGAACATGTAATATTGTATGTTTCATTAATACTAACACTCTACTTCATAAAGTGTCTTTTGTTCGGATTTTGTTTATAAAGTTTTAGTGCTACAACATGTTTTCAGCTGATTTAGACAACAATGCACAAGTAATTAACAAATTAATAAAAAAAAAATTTAATTATATAATTCCAATTTAATTATTGTCAAAAGAATGCATCCACATGTTTTATTATTATTATTAGCATTATTACAAATGAAAACATTTATTTATCATAAGAATTCATGGAGAAAATTAAAATGTCACTGCAAAAAAAATCTTAATAGTCTTCAAAATAGGCTTAATTAAATGTCTTATTTTTACTTTTCATTTAATTCAGAATCATGGTATATAAGTACTTTAAAATGTAAAAAAAATTTCTGTACTTTTTCTTTTAAATAAGTGAACATTTAACTCTCATGAGAATTCAGGCAGAAAATGTAATGAAAATAATGCAAAAACAACTTCAAGATCCAGTTTAAATATATGTCGTCTTATTTTTGGGATGAAATATTTCATCATATTTTCAACATATTTCAAATGTTTCATGAGATTTATTATTCATATTAACAGTTGAATAGTTCATCAGCTAATATAAACCTTTTGACAATGCTTTTATAGCTGTATAAAATGGAGACATGGACAAAGATTCTGCAGTTGTAATTTGATTTCAACATCAACTACTCATTTGATCACGTGACAAGTTATAGCACAGGTTATTGGTTAAAAACCGATGAAAGGCATGTTTTGTTACTGCCACATATTTATTAGTCAACATATTAAATTATAGTACAATTAATGAGTAAGTGAAGGGGAACAACACTAACCGATTGTGTTCTTCTAAAATGAGCCGGCAATGGTTTGGCAATTACCAGAAAAAGGCACCTCAAACAGTCTCACACTACATCAGCAGTTGGTTAGTTAGTTAGTCGTACACATGAAGTGTAACTTGTACATTGCTGAGGGCAGATAGAAGCACACAGATTGAACACACTCATTTAGATCCCAATATAACACTGTCATGTTTCCTGTGCTGAAGAACCTCAACTGAACACACATCTACACACACGACACTCTCAGTCCACCTCTACTGACGTATAAAAAACACAACTTTAGTGTTAGAACATGTCATAGTGATGAGCTTAAGATTCAGATTCTCCAGTTCAACACGCCAATCACACAAAACGTTCCTCTAGTGCCCGCTGGGACAGGCAAGATGAGTGAATCCCACAAAAAAACTACATGTTTGGGTCATATTTCACCTCAAAAAAGCAAAGGAAATTTTACTTTTCTTAAAGATAAGATTATTTTCATGACAGTTATGCACATTTTAACCCCAAATTCTCATTACTGTAAGACATTTTCCAGACTTTTACATTTTTTTCTTAAATTCCTGCTATTCATAACTGTAATACCGGTACATTCTTATTATTTTACCGTATAAAGATTTAAGGCTTAATAATAAGCTTAAAGGTAGTTTAATACATTTTATAGTATATTAAGTACTTTACAATTTACGCATTTTTCCAGTACATTATGATGATTGGGGGAGAATTGTTCCTACTTGTCAAAATGTACCTACTATTATAAGTATTGCTATTATTTCATAACCTACTATTTAATTATTGTCAAAAGAATGCATCAACTTTTTTTCTTTTTTTAACCAAAAAGAACATTTCATTCTCAGTAATAATTAAGTGAGAAAATGTCCTCACAATTTGGGGGTAATTTGGGTAAAATTGTTCTTGTCAGAATACAAAAATATTAATGGTCGAGATTTTTTAAATCTGAACAATATACAACTTCAAATATACAAACATCCTACTATTTATTGTTGAAAGAATGATGAGAAAATGTCTTTAATATCACGAATTGGGAGAAATTTGGGGGAAATTGTTCTTATTCATCAGAATGCAAAATACAAAAGGTTCTAATTATGAGATTTCCAAAATCAAAACAGAATATATATATCACTGTATATTTTTTTTAAATCCTACTATTAAATTATTTTTGAAAGAATGCATTAACTTATTTTCTTAATCTGTGTATTTTTTTTTTTTAAATGAGATTTAATTCTCATGATAAATTGTGCGAAAATGTCAATATCACAAATTGGGGGGAAAATTTCTCTTAATTGTCAAAATGCAAAAATATAAATAGAACTTAAAATAAAAAAATAATGTTAAAAGAATGCATCAACTTATTATTATTTTTACAATAAGAACATTCCCATGGCAATTCAGTGAGATGAGATTTCCAAAATCAAAACAGAATATATATATATATTTTTTTTTAATCCTACTATTAAATTATTTTTGAAAGAATGCATTAACTTATTTTCTTAATCTGTGTATTTTTTTTTTTTTAAATGAGAAGATTTAATTCTCATGATAAATTGTGCGAAAATGTCAATATCATAAATTGGGGGGAAAATTTCTCTTAATTGTCAAAATGCAAAAATATAAATAGAACTTAAAATAAAAAGATAATGTTAAAAGAATGCATCAACTTATTATTATTTTTACAATAAGAACATTCCCATGGCAATTCAGTGAGAAAATGTCATTAATATAACAAATCGGGGAAAATTTGTTCTTAATTGTCAAAATGCAAAAACATAAATGGTCTAAAACGAGAAATAGATTTTCTTCTGATTTTGGGGTGAAATAAGACCTGGACATGATCTTGACAGGTTCACCCAGATACTGCTGGTTTTACCCAAACTTTTGTGCATGTATATTTAAGCTTTACAGAAAGAGAAAAAGCACATTAATTTGAAACCAGGACTCAGGAGTGGAGCCTTCAGGCTGTTAGCAGCAAAGCGTCATTAGATTGGATTCAGCATTTAAGAGGTCCAGCGAGAGTCATGTGATCAATCACTAACACAGCACAGATTACAACTGCGTTTACCGTCTCACGAGGATCAAGGGGGCTGATTTCACACTAAACCACACTTTAAGGCTTTATTATGACTCAAATATCACAAGACATGTTCGTTATCAACCACCAAATTGCAGGAATGTTTCTTAAGTATTAAAAACCAAATTGCAATAACTCCTGATGCAAGAAGCCAAAGCCAATACGATTCAGTAATTTATTTACATTTCCAAGAGAAAAAAGCATTAGAATTGTGCACAAATAGACTCTGAAACATTTAATTTGGTCAGTCACTTACACACAATATTGAGGATCCGAACGTTATGAACATCAATACTTGACACATTATTTCCTGTTTTCACATTTAAAAAGAATTCACGCTACATGTTCACTCTACAAGGCGCTTCAAAACTGCCAAAGCCAAATAATGAGTCTAAATACAGAGACTGCAGCATTTTCACTCGCATGTCCTCCGTTGATAAGGCTAATTCAACAGTCTGATAACAACACTCCTGCGTCTAAAGTAAGGCACAGCAGGGACATTTGACTCGAGCCCCTCTATGCTTTTATCCGGATCCGTTTTGAGCTTGTGCCAGACCCTGAGGAACCGTCAAGAAGAACTCCAAGTTCTCACACAACATGAAAACCGATGGCAGAGTGAGTGTGGTGCATCATGGGAAATCAGCCCCCTCTGAGCCCGTTACTGTATACTGTCGGATCGGCCCTCTCGTGTATTCGCTATGACTGCTGCGTGATAAAAGCACCAGCCCACACCAGGACAGAGAGAAAGAGGGGAAAATAGAAAACCAGAGAGGAGAGGTGGCCGAAGAGTCCAGTCCAATCAGAGACTTCAACGCGATCACATGATCTCGCAGCACGAGTTCTGCTTGCGTGCCTAGAACATACAAACATCAACATTACATCAGATCTTCTGAAGAAAATGTGAGCACTTGCCCATTCACATTAGCAACTTTCTCAGTAGTAGTAGTAGTATATATTTATTTAATGCCATGTCAGCATCAATGGAAATTTTCGTGGCAAAAACTATTTAAAAAATACAAGTATAACAAATACAATAAAAACCAGCAAACAAACAAACAAGTTATATCACACAAGATTTTTTACATTAACGTGATAAAAATTCTAAAACTTTTCCTGGCAAAATTTTGCAACTTTCTCAGTATTTTCAATTTGAGATAATTTTGAGATTTTGGGCTATTTGGCTTTTCATGATGTGTTGTTTCTGCCTAAAAGAAAACATCCAAAATACACATTAAAGTGTTTGTTTTATTGAACTTTATTTTTATGTAGATTTTTAATTATAATACATATCTTTAAAGGGAGATTTTTTTTTTTATTATGTTTTTTCTCCACTTCAGTAGTACTTATGAATGCCAAATTTTACAGTTTTATTCGTATCTATATTCTGAACATTTATATAGAGGTGTTTGTTCATTTAATCATTCACAATAATTTTTTTATTAGACTTTATCTATTTACATCTGTAGATTTACATTATAACACTTATCTTTAAAGAGTTTTTTCTCCACTTCAGCGGCACTTACATAAACTAAATTTTACAGTTTTACTCATATCGATATTCTGAAGATTTTTACTGAAGGGTTTGTTCATATATCATTCGCCTAATTTTATACACCACTTCATTCCTTTATTTTTCTCACTTTATTTTTTTTCTTTCTGCCTGTTGACAGTATTTTCTCATTTATGGAGTGACAAAAATAGATACCCAAAATCCCCTCTGTAAAAACCTTTAACTCTAATATTTCAACATAATGAAACAATAACTTTAACTATTTGCATCTGTAGATTTAAATTACAATACATATCTTTAGAGGATGTTTTTGCAAAATTAGTTTTTTCTTCACTTCAGTAGTACTTACATAAACCAAATTTAACAGTTTTATTCATATCTATATTCTGAACATTTTTATAGGGGGATTTGTTCATATATCATTCACATTGATTTATATAATCTTTTATATCTTATTATCTTATAATATTATAATGTTATATTATTCCTAAAAACATGTTGAAAATTTATTTTTTTCTGGCTGCTGACAGCATTTTCTGAATTATGGAATGATGAAAAGAGAAATCCAAAATCTCTTCTGTAAAAAAAAAAAAAACTAACTTTAATATGTCAACAAAATCAAACAAGAATTTTGAACCTGGCTTTATACAATGTT